TATCACGATAGATAATATAAATGAATTTATATAGGGACATTGGATCAACATCACCACACCTGACTATCGCAAGTGGGCATGGACCCAGTATCACTTATAGAAAATGGATTTAAATTATTGGTTTTGATATCCCAGACCATACTTGGGGTGCCAAGTGAAACTGGATCGAACAACTATCGTATCATGACCGATAGAAGAAGGGAATTTAAATAAGGACATCGGATCGACATCATCATATCTGACTAACGCAGGTGGGGATGGACCCAATATCACCTCTCAAAAAAGGTTTGAATTATTGGTTTTGGTAATCCAGATCACGATTGGAGCGACAAGCGAAACTGGTTAAGAACATCCATCGCATCATGACTGATAAATGAAAGAAATTCATATATGGACATTGGATCAACATCACCACACCTGATTAATCTAGGTGGGCATGGATCCAGTATCACCTCAATAAAGTGGATTTAAATTATTGGTTTTGATATCCCAAATCATACTTGGGAGTGCCAAGTGAAATTGGGTAGAACAACTATCATATCATGACTGATAAATTAAAGAAATTCATATATGGACATTGGATCAATATCACCACACCTGATTAATCTAGGTGGGCATGGATCCAGTATCATCTCAAGAAAGTGGATTTAAATTATTGGTTTTGATATCCCAGATCACACTTGGGAGTGCCAAGTGAAACTGGGTAGAACAACTATAGTATCATGACTGATAAATGAAAGAAATTCATATGTAAACATTGGATCAACATCACCACACCTGATTAATCTAGGTAGGCATGGATCCAGTATCACCTCAAGAAAGTGGATTTAAATTATTGGTTTTGATATCCCAGACCATACTTGGGGTGCCAAGTGAAACTGGATCGAACGGGGGGTACAAACACATAGGGATGTTTATAGAAGACAGGGAGGTTCGCTAGTCTATAGCGAACAATCGGCACTAGTGGAAAGAGTGTCAGAAGATTTTCGACGGGAATCCTCGACTCTCATTCCACATATCTGATGAGGAATAGATCACTTGCTAGTACTCTGACGTTAGAAGTCTCCTTCCTCGTCTAAGCTACTATCAACAACTAATCCCCCCTTAGGTATTAAGTACCTATGAAAGGTAAGAAAATGTTAGGGTATGCTCGGCGATATGAAGGTGAGAGAGTCGAGCGAACATAGAAACCTGATAATAAGAAAATAATTTGATAAGGTACAGAATAGCCTAGAAGGCTAGAAGGAAAGGGACTATAGCTAAGGGAAACCCTAGCTAAGCGGGGAATCTAACTAAGAAACAGATCCTAACTAAGATTATGACAGACCTAATCTAAGGAGTACCAATCATAGAATGCACACAAGAAAGAATAATATAGGATCCAAAGATGGAGAGAAACGAGTCCCACCGTGGTCGCTAGAAACCTGTGGACCTCCGAAAGGACACCGCTCAGCTGCGGAGTGCAGAGGGGTATACGAGCGCACCTATCTCGGAGGATAGAGACGATCGCAGGCCTGGGGTCGGATGGAGAAGGTAGAGACCGAGAGGGAGAGGGGAGTTCGTGTCAGGTACCTTGCGAACTGAGAGGAAATGGGAGAGGGCCTTCGGTCTCTAGCTTGTGAGAGAGATAGAGATGGGGGAGAGCAGACCCGAGAGAGTGCAACCCTTATCAAAATATCGAGAGATCTCTGAATGGGAAGAAGAGGAAGGGATTTTGCTGGTCGCGCTAGAGGAGCTCTGTGAGGGAGGGGCTTCGAGAACCAGACCGGGACGGAGAGCCATGACTAGGTTAAAATCATGCCAAAATATCAAAAAGGAATCCCTCTATCATCGCCATAATCCCTCAAATCATGCCCATGCTGTTGCCAAGAGCGGAAAAACTACCTAGGAAATAAAATTAGGACCTTCTTTTAAAATAATGAAGTTGATTTGGGTCAAATTAGGATTCGAATAACTCGATTTGATTTGAATCGAGCCGATTCAAATTTGATTTAGTCTAATTAAATTAGTTCGGTAGAATCAAACCCAAATCGATGCCAATTTGGATCAAACTGAGCTCAAAGGGGCTAATGGGCAGTAAACACATTTAATCAAACTTCGTCGAGTCTAATTTGACTCAACTCGAGTTAATTCAAGTTTGAATTGGATTCGACGGGGCTTGATTAAATCAATCAAAGGCCCTCGAGGGCACTCGAGCTAAAATTGAGGTCAACAGTATGTTTGTGAAATATGAAAACTTTTCCCCTAAAGCATTGCATTGTTGTGTTTTTAGTGCCTGATGTTGTGCTCTTTGTAGCATTGGAGCACCAGCACTTGGAGCACCTAGGTGTTGGGCCATTTTTTGTACTTAAAAAATATCCAAATCTATTATTTTGTTCCATTTTTTTCTTTGAGAAGCCAAATAAATGAGAGAAACATTTGTTTTTAGATAGAGAAAGATGGGTTTTGAACCCTTCAGGTCATCATTTATTGTCAGCCCAATTTAGGAAGTTGTCCGGATTGAGGTTGGTCACACTGCCTATCTAAGTTTTCAAAAATAATAAGTTTTTCCAATTTTCCAATTAAATTTACATTCATGTTACCAAAAAAAGTGGATAACTTTGCACTATTAAAATTTTCACCACATAAATTTTGGTATGTTATATAGAATGAGATTCAAAATATTTAAATATTTTTTCTGAGAATTTTACACTAAGAGTTTTAAAATATATGTGGTTTTCATTGAATAAAAAATAATTTGAGCTCTATATAATAATATTGTAGTACAATTAAAATCTTAATAAAATGCTATGCATGATATCCGGTAATTTGGTTATTTTTTTAAAATATGTATTTTTGCTTAGTAATTTTTTGTTGCCTATCGTTATGATATTTTGAAAAATTATGAAATGTCTTTATTTACACATTAATCACTGTCATGCATTGAAATACATTCCTAATTGATTGAAATAAGTGATTCTATAGATATTTGAAAGGGATAGAGAAAGTTCTATTATGGTAATATAAGCACATTCTGCTTAAGAGTTGTTGAACTCTATATGTTAATTAGAATTGTTGAAGTATGTCTGTTAGTAAGAGTTGTTGAACTTTGTATGTTACTTAGAATTGTTGAACTCTGTTCATTACTCAGATTTATTTGAACTTTATATGTAGGGGTGTCAATTTTTGACACGACCTGAAACACGATCCAAACTAGATCTGAAAAAATCCAGGTTAGGGTCAACCCGGACCCGAAATGGGTCTGGTTCGTGTTCAACAAATCAACCCGTTTTAAAAATTGGTCGGGTTCGGGTTGACCCAACAACCCGAAATTGACACGAAAACTCGTATTTGAACCGAAAATCCGAGATTGACTCATTTTGACCTGATTTTTGACTCGAACTAGTAATTTTGGGTCAACCCTGGGTCATTCATGTTGGGTCGGGTTGACCCGGACACGAATCGGGTCGGGTTCGGGCCCGAAAACCTGACTCATTTTTAAAAAAGGGTCGGGTTCAGGTTGATCCGAATAGTGCCGGATCAATTCCGAGTTCGACCTGTTGACCCGAATTGACACCCGTATTTATATGTTTGCTCAAAGTTATTGAACCCTATCTACTGGGAAGCATAAGGTCAAAGTTATTGAACTTTGTTGGGAATGATATGTGAAGTGCTTGTGTATTTTGCCAAAAGTTTTTATGAAAACATCTATTTTTTTTGCTTAGTTCTACTTTAATACTTAGTGAATGTTTAATTAAAGGAATATTTAGAAATTTAGATCAATATTTGTGGCCTACTAAGCTATTTTAGCTCATTGTGATTTTGTATTCTATTTTTAGGATATGGAATAGGGAAGGATCCAGTTGAGTAGCTATTCAAGATCTAATCTGTTAATTATATATAGGTATTAATATTCATGCATAAAAATAAATACCTCAACTGTTGAAGAAAATGACTCAAATTTATTCTCAAGAATTTCTACCCTACATCAAACTCTATATTGAGTTCATTGGCCGGCCGTTTGTTTGCATGAGTGAAATTTTAGAGAAAGGAAATAATAAATGGTCAAATTCAAATAATTGGAAGAGATTAGCATAATGTTAGGAGCTAATAAATGGATGTGATTAAAAGATTTAACAGAATACGAATAAAGTAAAATGTTTTCCAGTATCAATACAAATCAGAATACAGTTTTTGGGTTTCTATTAAAACCTTAAAACAATTATCCTAATTAGATCTAATTTATGCTATGTGGTCTTTTTTGTCTCTTGCTAGAGCCTTAGACTTGTCTAGGGTTTGCTTTTCCTCGTCGCCACATGCTTCACGTGTATCAAGTTGAGTTTTGAAAGAGTCGCTAAAGCGTTCTTCCTGTAGGATTGAAAGTCATGAAGGGTGCTTGCTACGAAGATAACAATGTTTCTCCCCTTTCGCGCGCTTCTTCGATTATATCCCATAAATATGTCTAACTATCGGAGGTACTAAATTCGTGATTTAAGGCAAAACATACAATAAATGAGATTTAGGGGCTGTTTGGATGCACTAATGATTTAATTTAAGTTGGATTTCATAAATCCTCTAAATCTGGATTCATAAAATTCTAGGGGTATTAAATCCTGAAAGCTTCCTAGTAACATTCATTATAAATCTTAATAAATCACGTGTAATTGCTTAAGAATTGAATTAAAGATTTAAGATGACTAAGAGATTTATTATTTTCATTCAAAATCATATTTAATTCGATTAATTATTTTGAAATAACTAAGTATTTAACTAATAATTTAATTAATTATTAAAATATTTTTTAATTATAAGAATTGAATTAAAGATTTAAGATGACTAAGAGATTTATTATTTTCATTCAAAATCATATTTAATTCGATTAATTATTTTGAAATAACTAAGTATTTAACTAATAATTTAATTAATTATTTAAATATTTTTTTAAATTATATTAATTAAGTTATCCAACAATAATAACTTATTGGGGTCTAGGTTCAATGGGAGCTCACTTGCTTTTTTTTGATCTGAAGCAACAACGGGAGCTCGCTTGCTGTGAAGGTAACTTTCTCCCTTTCGCGCGCTTTTTCGGCCAAATCCCGTAAATCCGCCGAACCAAAGGATTTCGTAAATCCGGGATTTACAACGAAAAGAGGGAATTTTCCGTCAACCGTGGCTTTGATTCCATGATATTTGGTTTTGCATTTTTGGCCGTTTTGG